CGGTCAATCGCCGCGTTTATATGCAATTCTTTATGCATAAGTTAGGAAGCAATATCGGAGACATTGTGCCTCGAGCTATATAGTAATTTGTCAATTTGCTACAGTTTGCCAGTGAACAAAGCCCTGCCTCAGATTCAAGCAAGGAGAGCGGCGAATCGGGGTAAAAATCGATGCATGGAATCACTGCCGTTTGATCATAACCGCGTTCAGTTAAGGCGTCATTGCGGTGCAGATGACTGTCAGACCGATTACATCAACGCAAGCTACATGGACAGTTATCTACGTCGACGGGTCTATATATGTGCTCAGAGCCCCTTCAACACAGCGACAGCGAGTGACTTCTGGAGCATGGTGGTTCAGTGCAATATTGCCCAGATCGTCCTTTTGGATAATCTGATTGAGGCTGGGGTGGTGAAATGTACAAAATATTGGCCAGACGTAAGTCATCATAATTAAACAGAGTCCACTATAAGTCTGGATTTTTAGTCATCTTTATTAAATTTTGCTAAATTGATAATATTTGTTTGGTGAAAGCGAGCTATTTTATTTCGTATAGACAAGTGGATACATTGAGGATGCAGATCTCTAGCTATCAACAAAGGCAGGTAATATAAGCATTACTGATACCGAAGAGAACGAGTAGACTAGGGATCTGCTTGAGTCATGGCTCTCAAACCACTATAGGGAGACTTTCCACTTTGCTTGATAGATAAATCTGTCATAATGGTTTTTGAAGGAGCATATATGACTAGGAAATGGCATCCTACCTATCAATGTCGTCTGCTAGTTTTCCTTCCCTTTCCATTCCTGGGACTTACGCGGATTTACATGCATTTCAAAATGGCAAATTAACATCAACAATAGAACACCTACTGCAAGCGCGCTTCAATTTTTGTTTTTTTTATCAGTTTGTGCACGGTTAGTGGCGCGGGCTCATTATTCCTCAAAACGATGTATTTTAACTCCGTCATGCCTTGATGAGGCTACCTTTCACCCCGGCGATTAATCTTATTGCACATTTTCGTAGCATATTACGACTTCAGAAGTGTTTAGAAATCCTGTAACACCTCAGTTACTCCAAACACATTGTAAACAGCAGCTTTACATCTGTAATAGAACCTGCTACGAAGTGGCGACACTGAAGACCACATTCAGGACGTAAATTCCAAAACCTAAATAACGTTTCGTTCTTACAAGTAGGAACTAGTTCATTAGCTTTTCTAATCTGAAGCCCTAATGTTACCACTTTCGGAATATCGTGAAAGAGCTCGGTAAAACGCGTGTTTGAGCAATTGTTGGTTAGTCTTTATTAGCTATACTTCCTTCACCTACGAACATGCTTGCATAAATTAACCAATCATTGCCTCTTTCCCCTTTCTATGTGAACAAGCCAGTAAAGATCGAAGGGGATGGGGGAGAACGCCGGCAGTACGGCAGCGTTATAATTGAAGCAGAGGATATTGTGGAGTATGCGCACTTCAGCGTGCGACGCTTCCGCATTACTGATTCATCAGCGTCAGGAGGGTTGCGGCAGTGCGTGTTGCAATACCACTACCACCAATGGCGCAGCCGTGACAGCGAGAATGAAGAGGACCTCGTAGATGGATTTGACCACCTTGCTTTCATTGACTTCTACTTCCATGTGAAGATGGCCACATGTCTGGAGGACGGGCCCATTTTGGTACACTGTGAGGACGGTAAGCGGGTTTCGTTACTTTCGGTAACAAACATTCAGTAAAAACGGGCCAAAAAATGATGCTGAGAATGGATCTCGACAGTGGTCAAGACAGTTTAAGTTGAATCCCTGAATGCAGCGATAGAGCTAGTCAAACACAATTCAAGTTAAATGACTCTTAAGTACATAAAGAGTCAGTAAGAACGTGAAAAATGGAAAAGGTCAGAACGGTCATTTCTCCAAGACCATATTCTTCTTAGCCTGTAAGTCAAAGAACCTAGGTGGGTAGAGTTCACTGCTCCAATCAATTCGGTGAGAGTAAAGAGAGCTGCTTTATTGAGAGACACAAATTTCGACAATTAACCCATAGTTTTCCATCTCTCAACTCACAGGGGTGTCGCGTTCTTCAGTATTCGTGGCATTTGACACGCTCTTTCAGCAGTTGATGCACGAACACGCAGTTACGGTGGCGCGGACATGCACCGCGTTGCGGCGCGCGCGACAACACTCAGTGCCCTCAGCGCGCCACTTTGCTCTCCTCTACGACCTCCTATTCGAGGCCGGTATCGCTGGACATGCTCTTCTCGATCTCGACATTCGCTCTGCTCTCGCTTCGGTGTGTCTCTGCTCTTTCACCTTTCCTCTTCATTTAGATGACCAATTTTGTTTTCGCCTTACACTTAGTCGATTATGCAGTCGTCATAATTTGTACGATGGTTAGTAGGTCATGTAATTACTCCTCCACTATCTCATTCAAGGATTCACTTAAACATAAAGATTTTAGTTAGTTTACTGTTGTTTTCAGTGACTGCTTTTAAATTAAACTGCTGTCACTGATGTATTTGCGGTCAGTTTGGTTCTCGACTTTGTTCTGAGTAAATGTAATGTTGGCAATATTAGCATCTTTTGACTTAATGTTTACAGAATGTAGAAGCTGTTTTAGAATAATTCAGCTCATTACTTGCGCATTAAGTGATGTGCTTGCAATTTCATTTATTTACTCCCTCGGCCTATGCATCGTGTTTTCACGAGCAAGCTGATCCGATTAAGAAACGATTTTATTATTTGTCAACTCTTTGTAATGGCTGATATTTTAGCTGAGCCAGAGGAATGTGACAGCGGGTTTTACTTACTTACGAGAGCAATGGTATTTGCTGCACAACTACACACTTTCATCTTCGTCGCTGCCTCCTTCTCCTTCCACCGTGAACCGTGAAGAAGATCAATTAGCCGCAGTATGGGTGGACGGATTGACAGTGTGCAATGACGTGGTTCTTGTCCGCTCCCCTACGGCTGCCACCACCGCATTCTGGCGTCTCGTTTTCCAACACAGGGTGGGTGGTTCTCATTGCACTTGATCCATCTCCAATGTTTCCTTTTTATTCTAATCTTTGCTGGTACTGCCAAATATTCGGAATGAAATTAAGTGATTTGCATTCTCTAACTTGTGGCTTGGGAACAAGCCCTTGTTATAAACTCATTCTCTTGCTATACGCTATGGTGACTTCTCATTAGGCTGCAAATTCATTTCATTTTAACTCCAATGCAGATCACCTGTGTGGTCGATATGGAACCCTCGTGCTACGAAATGGATAGCGACGCATTTCCATTTTGGCCTCCGTATATCGGCGGTGTAGGAGGCGATATGGAAGAAGAGGCTCTATTTGGCATTAACGATACCACCACCGGTACCGCCTTTACCCGTGCACTCGATGTCAACAGGGTTGTGGATAGTGAGGGTGAGATGGTAGTACCACGTCATACCGGAGCTTGGTTCCACCTTGCTGAATTTCAGTTAACTCAGGTGGGTCCATTGGAGGCTTTTCCTCCTCCTCCTCCCTTACCGCCCTCATCCAAGCGTAATCGGCGGTGTCGGCGGCAACAACAACAGCAAAATGACTGCAGAAGAGCAATTGCATGTCTCTTCAAACGGTGCATTGTTATTCGACGACTCCTGCCGCAGCCACAGCAGCATGCCTCAGCTCCAAGAAAAGCGGAGTTTCACACGGTGGTTGTGTTCCATTTTAAGACACCTTGGAGGCAAGGCAGCCAGGTCTATAATTAGTCAATTGCGCAAACGGTTATTAATTTCTAAATCGATGTTATTGTAGTTAATGTTTGAATCTTTTTATGACTCCTGTGCTCTTTATACTCTCATGTTTTATTGTGATTCCAAGTTGATCAGGAAATCTATTGCATTTGGGGAGACTAAACTTGCATTGCCTTGCTTCCTGGGGATTTGGTCGCTTTTCATTTCTTTAGTTTTAAATGTGGTTGTTAGTAGAAGGCAAATAATGACGATAGCGCGATCAACTCAGAATTGCAATATAATTTGCAGTGCTTCCCGTAGTCAATCATCCGTCATGACCATCACGTCTTCCAATAAAGTAAATCATTCAAGAGGTACGATTGACCGCGAATCTGCATCGTCGCACCAACGCTTTAAATTGCGAAGGTTGCATCTGCGCCTAAGGTTGTGACAACCGTCTTACAGGAGCCATTCTTGCGTGCCTG